TACAAATGCGCTTTACACAATTGATGTGTGTATGGATTGTGATAAGAGTTGTATGAGCCCCTAATAAAATGATTTAAAAAAATTTTGACATATATGGATGAAATAGACAAAAAAAGAAAGGTAGGAAAGGAAAAGCAGGGGTACTCGTTTTTGGCTTTATTACCCTACCTCTTTGTGAATGTGTGTACTGTGCTAGTGTTAAAGAATAAACAGCAAAGGAATTTAATATTAAAAATGGGATTTTGAATACTTTTTCTAGTCTAAACTAGACAAAGATCTTTTTTTACCATCAGATATGAGGGGGCTTCACAAAGTATGGAAGACTGGCATTAAAAGATTATGGGATATTTCCACCAACTCTCACCCCGCCCTGCCCTGTATGCTCCCTGATGTTTGCCTCTTTCTGAAGGAATAAACAACCCTCAGAAGGAATAAACAACCCTCAGGAGTCAGCTTAGCCCAGGCTTGCCTTCTGACTCTGGGCTTTCCTAATGAGCGGAGCTGGCTTGGGGCGGTGCTGAGGGTACAACCCTTGAAAGACACTTGTAGGAGTATGTGTAGGATGGCGAGCAATATATTGTATAGTAGATAATGTTAAAATCCACGTTAGTTTCTTAACTTTCAGCTCTTGAATTTAAAGCATTGGAAAAGATGGGCTGCAGGCTGGGAATTGGGGAAATCAAGAATGAATTTGGAGTGCAAGCTTAAGGCGTGGTGCTGTACAATTAAATCAGGATAAGCAACCTGCATTTCTCACTGGCAGCATCCACCACTTGTCTCTTCCTCTTTCCTTGGTCTTCCTGGGCCTGTCTTTGATAGCAGCATTGCTAGTGATTTATCCCTGGGTGTCACCTATAGCTCAGGGCCTTGGGATGAGGGTTGTCTCAGAAGATGACCTTGTAACCCATCTCCCTTGGTCTTTGACTTATCTTGAAAGAGACTGTATTATCTCCATCTGTTCCTCTCTATCCCCTGCCGCACTCTGCAGCATACCTTACACAGAGTGGACACTGAGGATTTGTTCTTTAGAATTAATAATAAAAATGCTCATCTTTTTTGGAAAATGGCAGAACCTATGTCTTTGGTGTTTTTGTTTCCGTGGTAGCCTAGTGGAATTTGAGTTCCGCCACTTAGTCACTGGTGGCCCTGGGTAACTTTCTTACCATCTCGCTGCCTCAGTTTGCCCATCTGAAAGAGGGATGGTAATAGTGTCTGCATCATTGGATGTGACAGCATGTGGACTAACTCAGGTTAATACAGATAAAGCACTTAAGATTTGTGCTGGCCTGTCAAAAATCCCTGAGAAAAACTACTCTTAACCCATGCTATGGAAAGTATACGTAGTGTTAGCTAGATTTGAACAGCAAATCACTGTACCATTAATATGGTCAGAGTATTTCTGTGTAATTTAGTCATCTGATCTCAGTGGAGCAAGGCTGATCCCAGTATTTAAAAGGAAGTGATAGTTTGCTATACTGTGTGTTAATTGTGGCAGTCTTGATAGCATATCTATTGAGTGACTGCTGTGCCAGACCGTGCACGTCATTGCAGGTGATACAAAAATCTCGACAGCACAAAATACCCGTAGTGAATGCCTGTAGCTTGGAAATAGCAGTCCTTGAGGTGGCCCACTGGACTGTGAATGTGGTAATTGGATGAATCAAGCGCCATGTTCACTTTACCAGGAGCTTACAATCCAATGGTAGAGGCTAGCAAGGAAAGCAAAGCTTGCCGGAAGATGATGCCCTGGCAGTGAGGTCAGCCTCCCAGAGTAGATCACTTTGTGCCAAATGGCGAAGTCTGAGTAGGAATACTCTGGGCTGTGGGGTGGGATGGCCTCTTCACATGCTGGCCTCTGCCATTGGATCATGGGCTCCTAGAGAGAAGAGCTGGGTCCTTCATACATTCATCCAACCTCCGAATTCACAGTCCAGTGGACCACCCCAACTAAGGATGACCAAGATACATGCACTTTCACTGTAGAGACTGTGCTGCTCCTTTGGGTCACCTGCAATGATTTGCAGTGTCTGACACAGCAGTCACTGTATATATGTTACCAAGACAGCAGAGCAAACCATCATATCTGGTTACATACTGCATTCCAGGCATAGGGCTGTGTATAGAGACCTGACCATATAATGTTTGGGGGAAGAGATTTTTTTATTTATATGTAGACCAACACTGGTTTCAGGTTATAACTCCTCCCTCCAACCTCTCGTAGGCACCAGAGTTTTCCATAGACACATGCTGTATGTTTTTACTAACTGCAACCTCCTCCCACCCCTTGAGTTAGTCACTTTGGTTAATGCTATGCCACTTTTATTTTACATGTGCTGTCTGCAGTTTCTGTTTCTGATCACATGGAAACTTCATTTCGCATAGATACCATCAGCTTAAATGAATAGAAACAAATGTACGGGGTCCCAGTTACTGGGGGACTACCAAACCCAACCCATGACTCCTTGAGCATGGTCTATACCTTTAATATACAAGTATGATCAAACATTTTTTAACTGTTTTTACATACATGAAGAAGAGATTAAAGCAAATGAACAGAACGATATGATTTACTTGTAGTATGGGAGGAGGGGTAAATGAAGCTAAAGTCATGTCTAGAAATGTCATGAGACATTCATGGGACAAACAAGGGCACGCCACACCAGCACTGGCTGACTTTTTAGTCTGTAAATTTGCAAATATTGTAGGTGTGGGTGCACACGGGCATGTAATGAGTGAAAATCCACGGTACTCTTTAAAACAAAAGTTTTTTCAGTGAAGGTATTTGCCATGGCATCGAGATGCCCCAGTGAAGGACCAATAGTTGCCTCTCACTCAGGTCGTGTTCCTTCCTGAGCCTTTGAGATACAAGTCTGACAGATGAGCCTACGGGACTGCTCCTCACAAACCCTGGTCACTAACATTCGCTTCTTCCCTCTGCAGCATGATTCTAGCGCTAATCAACGACTGAAGCTGGAGAGCCGGGGGGGTCCGCCACACTACGGCGCACCGTTGAGGAGCCCGAGATGACTTCAGTCTTCATCCTTAGGAAGTGACCGTAGCAGTATATTTTTCCTCTTTGAACAAAAAAAGACGAAACTATTTTTGCTGTATTTTTACCATATAAAGTATTTAAAAAATATGAATTGAGTTTTTGTAGATTTCTGGTTCTCAACTTTAGCCAGCCCCCAGCAGGTGAAGGTGTTTTTTTCATCATCTGTATGTTGAAGATGGTTATTTGTCAGTAGGAACAGGACTGCCATTGTAGCCTTGTATGCCAAAGAAAGGAAGGCCACCTGCAAGGACCGTGTGCCAGAGGAGCAAAGCCGTTCTTCCGGTCGGTACAGCAGCACTGTTTCATTTGGACACAGGGGACAGGAAGGTCACTCCCCTTGTTGCCTATAGTGTTGCAGCTTCATATATTTAGTCTTAAAATGTATGGAATTGTCAGCCACACGTCTTTTCATAAGGATGTTAACAGAAAAAAGGTGACATTTCAAAATTTATATGTTTCTTTGCAGAATCTGTGAGATTTAGAAAGCATTTGCCCAGGTCCAGTAAAATTCCTGCTTATAGAAAGGAAAAGTAAAAAGAAAAAAGCAAACGTTTTTATCAGGAACTTTTATTGAGAAGCCACTGCCTCCACAGTCTGCCTGCCACCTAACGCGTGTCACTGGCCATTGTCAGTTCTTATTTCTCTGTTGCGATTGCCTCGAGTGGCATTCGATCGCACAGGAGTTTTGTTTGTTTTAATGGGTTTGGAGTATGACCTGGTCCAACATACTCATCAGATTAGAAGAAAGTAATAGTTAATCCACTGTCAATGAAACTGAGCTTATTAGTGTTCCATGTGGTACCAGGTTAATTGTCACCCTTGTGTCCTTTTGCACTGATCACTCTGTGAGCTGGGAGACCTGTGTCAACCACCTCATGGGCATGGCACTATCTAAGCACAGTTCTCGCCACGGTGTTTGTAAATTCTCACTGTTAATGAAAGTTGTTGACCTCTTTAGCTCCGCTGCAGCTCTCCAAGGGTAAAGTGAACCCGACATTTTAGCCTCAGTTCTAGTTTGTACTTTAATATTACAGTCTTAGTATTGGCATACAGGGAAAACACGACTGAATGTAAAGAGCGTTTTCTCTGGTAAGGCAGGTGTGCACAGCTAAACAAGCTGTTTGGTCACCAAGTGATCAGATGCTCTGCCGTTCAGCCCTAGACTGAGCAACCTGGCCAGAAGCAAGGAGCCACTCGGCGAACCTCCCAGATAGGTGGGCCCGTAGTTCAAGAGGGACGTAGTGCCCTGGAAACACTCAACAGTGAAATGATAGGCAGCAATCTTGGTTCTATTGGCCGCTTGGAAATTTCCCTTGATAGAAACCCCATATCCCTGCTAGGCCAAGGGCCAAGAAGGAGGGCAGAGTTACTTTGATTGTGATCACTTTTCCTCATGTTTCCCGTAGACTAAGGTGACCAGACGTCCCACTTTTGGCGGGACAGGCCCGATTTTTAACAATTTTTCCCGCATCCTGCGGCATTTTATAAAAGTCCTGATTTTGGGAAAGAATGGACAGCAAGCTAGGGTGTACACTTTTCGGCTGCCATGTGGCTATATCACCAGGATATGAGTTTTATCAATGGTGTCCCGCTTTACCAATGTTGAAATCTGGCCAGCTTACCTTAGAAGTACCTTGCTTTGTTTAAAAATCAGACCCTCCACACTACCTTTCCCCCGGCTTCCAGTGCCTCTCATGTTCTGCTTAAGCTTTTAAAGCAATGAAGCCTCTAGAAAACTGAAATCCTTAGACTAGAGGGCCTAGCAAACAAGCTACTTAGAGAAGCCGAACTTTTCACTAGTATTTACTCCTGTCCTGCCATTCTTTCTTTTTTTTAGAAATCATTTTATTGGGGGCTCGTACAGCTCTTATCACAATCCATACATCCATCTAGTGTGTCAAGCACATTTGTATATTTGTTGCCACCATCATCCTCAAAACATTTGCTTTCTACTTGAGCCCTTGGTATCAGCTCCTTTTTCCCCCCTCCCTCTCCTACCCACCCTCCCACACGAACTCTTGATAATATATAAATTATTACTATTTTTTCATGTCTTACACTGACCGATATCTCCCTTCACCCACTTTTTTGTTTGCCCCCCAGGGTTGGGGTTATATGTAGATTCTTGTGATTGGTTCCCCCTTTCTCCCCCCCCACCCCCACCTTACCCTTTTGGTATCACTACTCTCATTATTGGTCCTGAGGGAGCCTGCCATTATTCTCTATAACCAGAATTGAAACGTAGCATTGCCATGCGTTTGGGCTGACAGGTCACATGTTATCTGGCAAAAGTTGCTAAGGCTAAGATGGTCGAAGAGGGGCCTTGATAACAAAGTAAAGTCATTCTTTACTACTTCTACGTTAATTTTGGTGAAAAGCCAGCAACTCCTCTTTCTTAAATTGCTTGTATATATCAAAATCAGGAAAAGAGGTGACTCATGTTTTGGTCTTCTCTTTCGAGGCTCTTCGATAAATGAAAGGGGTGTGGGGGAGTAAGCACTGGCATGAAGGGCTGTGCTTAAGATGCTACAGGTTAGTTTTCTGTGCTTTTCAGAGACTGGTGCAGAGGCCCTTGGAGGTCAGCTGGTCAGTGTGAGAGCTGGGGCCTCACAGGCTGGAGCCTCTGGGGTCCCGTGTGTAGTCTACGCTCTTTCTTCTTTGCCTCTCCTTTTAAGGGTGAGGTTTGCTGCCCCTCTGTCAAGGGCCCAGTAGGTGCAGACTACCCTGGGGTGCTCCTACGTGGTGGTGTTTTCCCCTGCTCTTGGCCCTCCATCCTTCACAGTGGTAAAAGGGTCCCTGTTAATCATCAGTACCTCAGTTGAGAGCGAAGGAAGCAAGAGCCAGGGTGCAGCTCCTTCAGCTGCCACACATTGTAATGTAACGAGTCCACATCGGCTTCCTTTGACCTGGTCTGTCTTTGAAGGTGAACGTTGAGAAAGCACCAGTTGGGCGTCATCTCCTGTGGCACTGTCAAGTTCCGTCTGCTATTATAGTTATTTGTACACCTTTCATCTCCCCTCCTAGATTGTACGCTCCTGGAGGGCAGAGCACACTCTTACTCAATTTGTACCTTCCTCCTCGGCCTGGCACCTAACAGTGCCTTGCGCATAGAAACAATAAATGATGGTTGAACAAGTCAATCTGATTGTGTTGGTCTATTGCTCTTGCTGCAGGAAGCCTATCCCATGTCCTCTAAGTTAGAGGACAAGCTGAAGACGCAATGGAGCAACAGAATCAAAGCCCACCTTCTTTAATTTCAAGGCAGGCACACGAACTGTTCTAAGACACTTTAGGGGCGGAAAGGAAAGTGCTCAGTTTGATTCACTTATAACTTGTGAACTCAGCTGCGCGCACATAGTTGTTAATAGTTGTGACGAGAGGTGTCATGTACTACATGAAGTGAACACACTTGTTCTGCTGTGCAGAAACGGGGACAGGGCAGAGTATGATAGTCTATGCTGCTTGTGCAGGTCTCAGGCCTGTTTCTGAACTCCAAATGTACTACTCTGCTCTAGTGTAACAAAGACTGAAATATTCTTGGGATAGTGGCACTTCAGTAACCGTCTGTCAAAAGAATGGGTTATTCTGGCGTTCTGAGGGCTTGCCAATGGAGACTTCATTTTCAGGCACGTGTGAAAGTTCTAAGATGGTTACCACGTTTTTTGCTTTGGTCAGTGCATTTAACAAAGTCTAATGATTGAGGCCCGTTCTGTGTCTTAGGAAGCTGAAGTCATCACAGGCACGCCTGTCAGGACCATCAGCATTACACAGAGTGACTGTTCCCCGAGCTAACTAGGTGTATAGCTGAGTTTGCTCTTAAGAATACATTCTGTGTGTGATAAAAGCTGCTTTTGTAAACTGCTTCTGAAGCCAGGGTGGAGGAGTGGGTGTCAGAATCAACTAGCTGACCGTGCAGAGATTTGGTAGTTTCTGTTGATCTGTTTTGCTATATCAGAGGAAGCAAGCTTGTTGTCATTCAACATTAGGACCTGTTCAAACTGTAAGTCAATTTCACAACACAATTGAATTCTTGTTCTCCAGTGGAGCATCTTGTGTATGATACCATCACTTTCCACTCATTTAAACAAAAAAAATATTTTTTTTGTATTTAATATGTGTATGCTGTTGGCAGATAGCTGCAAGTCAGTTCCTCCACAGTGACTGTGTACAACAGAATGAAACACTGCCTGAATTATTGAATTGTATGACACGTGGATGCAGTGCTAATACTGTCAGAGAAAGAATGAGAGACTGCACGGCCTGAGACATTCTCCCACGCAGTCACATGTTGAGTCCATTGTTGAAGTCACTGTGCCAGTATCATTGATATATTCCAATACATGTCATTTTAATATGCATATGTAAATTATATCTTTAGATTGGTATACAGATGGATATATTAGTACTCTATGTGAAAACAGTTTCTTCAGCCTTAAAGTTTACATATATAAACCATTAGCCATCAACTCAGTCCTAACCATGTGTGTCAAAGTGGAGCTGGGCGCCACAGGGTAATCTCTGAAAGTTGACCACTGGGACTTTATTCCAAGGTACTTTGGGGCGGGCTTGAACCTGAAGCCTTTGCGTTAGTGTGTTAAGTGCATCATCTAGGACCTCTCTTCCTGTGTTTACAAGCCCAGTCTGGAACAGAAACCTTTGCAAGTCAGCGATGCCTGGTGTATATATTTCATGGAAGGAATCCACGAAGGCAGAAGTGTCTCTCAAGCAAATAGAAGTCATGGTGGTCCCCCAGGGAGTGTTTGAGGGGCTTAAATGCTCAGCCCCAGCCAGCAGGTAAGTTGTCCCACTCACAGCTAACACAGGTGGGGCCACTGATAATTATAATTTTAAAAAGTATTGACTATCAAATGCCATTCTCTATCTCCTTTAACCCTCACAATACAGTCACAGTTGGGGAAACTAAACCTAGGGAAGTTAATTTAACTTAGCCCAAGGTCACACAATGAGGTTCTTGATTGTCTTCCCAATTACTTCTGAGGGCCCCTCCTGACCTGGGATTCTGAGGCTGCCCACAGCCATCTCCGGAGACTCAAGCCTGTGCTGGATTTGCTCCCTGTGAGAGCTGT